CATCAGGTTCCAAAAATATTACAATAATTACGTCTTACCTTTTTTGATTTGTGATCAAAAGTTGTGTTCAACGGAATAAAAACGCATCTCAAGGTTAATCCAATGTCTTTGTGTCACGTATAATTTTTTACTGATAATCAATCATCATATTTATGGCAATATACTCGGTATAAAGTATTGCCGTCCAGGCTTGCACTTTCAGATATGCTTCGTTTGCTTCTCTATTACGTCCGCTATGGTAATGTTTACGTAGATTTGGGAACTGCCCATCGATTCTATTGGTTCTGATGGTTAAGAAAAAGGTGTAAATCACACAAATCGACCAATGGGTTCCAGAGATATGGTCCTGCGTAAATTATAAAGAATGGCAGTCAGCTTAAGTACATTACGCAGCCGACTTCATTTATTGTTTACAACGTAACGAAGCAGGAAATGCAGCAGGACCCAGAGCGCACGGAGCACAGAGCGGACAGCAGATAACGGAATTGCAGTTTTATTGCCTATAGATTATCAGAACATTTCAAAGGGGACACAGCCCCATTGGATATTAATCTATGGATTAACTACATCATCGTTTTATCGTTTTAATGCCATTGAAGACCAGTTTAGACCAGACAACGATGAAGATAAGTCATTGTTAGCCTAGCGCATTAGCGCTAGCGCCATTTGTTTTGATGTACGTTTTTGTTGATAACGTCGCGAGTTTGTATCTTTCAGTGTTGGGCTGTTCAGGTGGGCACCGTTAGATTCTGTGTCTCCTTGCGATCATAAACAATGTGTTGGATGTGCAGCTACACTCTCAGAAAAAAAGGTACAAACGCTTGTCACTGGGGTGGTACCCTAAAGGTACAAAAACTATGGGTACAAAGTTGTACCCTTGTACATTGTACCTTTGTATGTACCTCAAGGGTCAAATATGTAGCTGCCCTCGGCAATAATCACAGCAGAGTCTCGACGGATGCAGTTTCTTTAATGGTCTTTCAATCATCGTGAAAACTAAAATATAATATGAAGTCTGATTCCAAGACTTTCAGCACGTCGGTGGCTGATGGTGTTGGCATCTCTTTCACTGTGACTCAATGTACGAAGCTTTGGTGTCCCTGTCTATCCAAATGGGGATTGGCTGAGCCAATGATGCTCCATCCAAGCACGGTTCTTTGTGCGAAAGGTTTGTTTTCGCCTCCTGTGACAACTTCCAAGGGAGCCAACGCTGATGGGCAGTCATAACCAATTAGCAATCCTACCTCGCAGTCTTGAAGTGGTGGTAGCTTGTTTGCTAAGTGTTTGAGATGAGGCCATTGGAGTGCTGTTCTTTGAGTGGGGATATGAGACCTTTCAACTGGTATGAAGTCTCGTGTGTAGGTCTGCTGTAGTTTGACATAGGCTTCAGAGTTGAGTCCCCGAACTTGAAGACCACTGGCAGTCTTACTTGCAATGACTGTGTTAGCCGCTGTCATTGTACTGAGTTTCAGCTGCACTGATTGAGTGTCCACGTCTAGTTCAGTAACTAAATCTTCCAAAATGAAGGTTGAATCACTTTGTGTGTCCAGTAGGGCATAAGTGAGAATTTCTCTATCAGGATCCATTGTTGACGACACCAGAACTGGAACAATGCTAGAGGTGGCAGAAGTATGCTTTGTCACTGCATGGGACATAACTTTGTGGATCTCCTTACTAGTATGTTCTCCTGTGGCAGCAGAATATTTGCCTGATGTCTCTGCAGGTCTTTTGTCTGTTTCTATATGTAAGCAGGTTGGGTGACGTCGACTGCATGTGCTGCAGGTGTGTCGCCTTTTGCAGTTTTTGGAAATGTGCCCCTTTCCTAGGCACCCGAAGCAAAGGTTATTTTCGTGAATCAAATCATTTTCTTCTCGTCTGTAGTATTTGCTGTAAAGGTTGGGCACCTTGCAATACCATGTGTTTCATCCTTACAAACTAAACAAGGTGGCCATGGTTTTGAGTTTGAAGTTACAAATGTCTCTGAGGTGGGTTCATTCATTTCAGTACTGGTGTTGAGTGCTTTCGTTCTCCTGAGAAACCTCTCATCTGTGGTCTTGGTGTTTTTCATCAGGAGGGGGAACACAAAGGGATTACAAGCTATTCTAGCTTCCTTTTGTGTAAACTCTGTAAAATGTGCAAAACTTGGATAGTCTCCAAATTTGTCTAACTCTTCAACAACAATCCGACTCCACCTGTGAACCATCCACTCAGGCAGTTTTTGGAGAAGCTTGTGATTTTCCTCGCAATCGTTTAGGATGGACAGGCCCTTTACATGGGGAATAGCTTCAACACAACCTTGAAGGAAATCTGCAAACTCTCTGAGTGCTATGGGGTCGTTTAAATCTATCTTGGGCCACTTCATGAGCTTGTCTCTGAAAGCCTTTTGGACAATAAAGGGGTTTCCATATCTATCTTGCAAGACTGCCCAGGCACTGTGATATGCATCTTCTGAGTTTCTGTAGAAAAATCCTTCTACAGCCTTGCGCGCCTCCCCTGCGAGGTAACTCTTTAGATAGAGCATCTTTTCACCAACTGGGAGGGGCTTATTTCCAATGAGGGCCATGAAGGACATCTTCCAGTCTATGAACTTCAAAGGATCGCCGGGACAGGTAGACGATTCAGAGTAAAAGAGCTTGCAATTGCCTGGGTTAGGCTGACTTCTTCATGAGACGTTGGCGCTTCAGGCGGTGCAGGATGAAGCCGGAATGGCTTTGCTTGTGGATTTAGTGGGGGGGGGGGGGGGTTTGTGGTCGGTATTTCGGCCACCATGTTGAGATGTGTGGTCGACCTCTTCTTCACAACTTTCAAACCCATCAAAATGTCTGTACGCTCTCACTCGAGCTGCTGCTACTTTTACTTCATTATCTACATGTAGCTGTTGTAACCTTGTTTTTTCCTCTTCTAGCTTTAACTTCATTTCAGCCTCCTTCTGTTTGATTTCTGCCAGCATTTGAGTTTCCATTCACTCTCCAATTTATCGAGTCTTGCTTGTTGGCCATGTAAACTTCGTGTAGCTTTTGCCTGTTCTTGTTTGGCTGCAAGGTCTGCTTCTGCATCTGCACGTTTACTAGAGGAGCTGGAGGTGTTACCGTAATTTTCGGACTATAAGGCGCACCTGAATATAAGCCGCAGCAGCTAAATGTAATGATGTGTACATATATAAGCCGCACTGGACGATAAGCCGCAGGTGTTTTAATGTTTAATTACCATATGTAAGGGTTCGTGCACAGAGGGGATTGTCGGGAAAGAGATGGCTGTTTGAGGAAGCTCCCATTTATTAACATTTCAACAAACAAGTTGCATATTTGCATAACGTATTCAAGTGTTACCATTTAGTGCAATAGTAGCTACAGAACATGTACTGTGCTGTGTAAACTGTACTGTATCACATAGCGTTTCAGACACACAAACTTTTCAACTTTCAAACTTAAACGGTGCGCTCCCAGCGCACGTACCGGCAGTGATCTACAGCAGTGGTTTTCAACCAGTGGTTGTTTTCCATAATGAGGGTTTGTGCATGAAAACTTCCTTTGCACAAACTGTCTCGCTCTCGTAATGTCTGTCTGTCTTGGTCTCGTTCTGTCTCTCGTACCACTCTCGGTTCCACTTTTACTTTTGCGCGCTACCTGTCTCACTCTTTTCCGGCCTCCAGCTTTTCCTGCTGGAGCCCGCCGCTTAAAGGTGGGAGGCGCGGACCGGCCATAGAGCCCATAGTGTTAAGGTGGTGGACTGTAACCTGTAAAATACATAGATTTAGGAGGTCCCCTAGTGGCCGTTAGCTGTAAAATCCATAGATTAGCCGCACCGTTATATAAGCCGCAGGGTCGAAAAATGGGAAAAAAGGCGCGGCTTATAGTCCGAAAATTACGGTACTTGGTTCTCGTGATGACTCTGAGATTACAGTTTCTGTGTTCGTGTTTCCAAAGACAGAGCCATACTCATTCTTATTTAGCGCCGCCCTCACTCTCTCCTTCTCAAGTTGGTCGTTGAAAACCTCATCTATATTCTCTTGCCTTTTACTGAGTAATTCACGAATCTCAGCTGTAAGAGTGACACATGCATCCATTTTCTTGGCAATATCTGGAGTAGTGGTATGGTTGCGTCGAATGGGCTCATAATGTTGCTGTACTATGACATATTTGGATTCTGTGTCCTCTGTGCATCTATTTAGGTCTTCAGCTGAGCAGAAATATTTCAGTCTTAGTCTAACCTCTCTTGCTGTCTGCTTCCAAGAGTCGTAGGCTTTATTGAATGCCTTTTCGTTTTTCTTAGCTTCATTTTCTTGCAACTCTAGGGCTTTTTGTGTTAGACTTCGTTCACGAGAGCTGGACCTCACTTGTGTCTCTGGGGGTTTGTCTGTTTCTTTAGTAGGTAGTGACATTTTGTTGCCCTTTTTCCTCTGTTTGTGCTTTACCTATAGTCTTACAGTGTTTTATGTCTAAACTCAATTTAAGTGAATGGTGACTTTAACTTTACCTTTAACTATATACCACTCACATCAGACATTTACACTTGGACACGCTAAGATGAGCAAAACATGAATGATACAAAATGTCACAAACAATAGTACTGCTAATGCTCTACAGTCAGACAATTTTTACCCTTTAAACATTAGTACACGTTCGGGAATTAAGTTCTCATGAAATGACATAGATGGTTAAGGGCCCTCTTTAACTATATAGCTCTCTGCTTTACGACTGTATTTTTGCACGATATGATATGGCTGTTCTTGAGCTCGTTAATTGTGCATACAATGAATTAGCTTAGCAGACAGCTTTAAATCGATTTACCACCTTAACATTGACTATTTTCTTATATTTATTATTGGCTTTAACTTTTAGTCAGCCAAGTCTCCTACTGCAGCATTGGCCTCCGTACGTTGACGTGCAGGACGTCAGATGATCTCGTATCCGCTGGCTGAGCCGGCACGACGTGGTGAATGGCTCGTGCAGTCGAGTTTTCACTGTAGCTGCCCTCGGCAATAATCACAGCAGAGTCTCGACGGATGCAGTTTCTTTAATGGTCTTTCAATCATCGTGAAAACTAAAATATATACAGACATAGAACAAGTACAAGTCATTGATTAAATCACAAATATATATTCACGGATCAAACAAACACTTGTAATACAGTCCCTGTAACGTACCTCGCTCCGCTCACCGAGGGTGCAATATGTGCGACGTCAGGCCTGGCAGTCCTTATCTTAATATATCACTTGGCACTATGAACAGTTGAGCCAAGGAACAACACACACAGTTTCAATTAAAACCTATACAAACCGATTATATAACACAATATTTGTGGCAATTCAGTAACTTACGTGTATGTTTGAGAGGTCCGTAGCACAGGCTAGACCTCGTTGCCTGGCAATAGTTTAAATCAGTTATGATTCCGGGGTTCGCAGCGTCACACCCATACCTACGCCCGCCCCTAACCATGCATATTAAATAACGTAGCGGTCAGTTACAACATATACATGTACCTTCTGAAATGGTACAAATTTGTCTCTTTAGGGTACCACCCCAGTGACAATGCTAGTTGTACCTTTCAGGTACACATTTGTCACTTTATTGTACCTTTAAAAGTGAGCATAGGTTTTTGTCAGACAAAACAGGCAAAAATCCAAATATTTTAGTTTAATCTCATTTAATCAATATCAAAACACGTTATCCCTCACATCACTCCCATCAGAAAGTCAGCACATAATATAGATGGCAACTTGCATGCTACAACAATAATCAATAAAAACATCAATTCATTTCCTACGAACGCTGAAAAATGAAAATAAATGTTCAATAACCCATCAATATAGAAAAACATACTTTTGATATACTGATGACCAACAACCCGTCATCCACAGTATATATATCAATGGGTGAAACATTCACCAATACAATGAAACACATTTTCATAAATACAGCAATCTATCAAAGCTTCACAATTCTCATTAGTTTGAAATATTCAACAACAATTTGTAATCCACTGCATAGCGATGTGAAAATATGACCAGTGTCATACTGATCACCCAGTCGGTCAGTCAGTCACCCAGTCACAATATTACTTGGAAATATTCACCAACAATTTGTCATCCACGGTATAGCTATCAAGAGGTGAAAAATTGATCTCTTGGCCTGGCAGAAAACATGACCAATCAGTGTCATACTGGACTTGGTATGCATGGAAATGTTTAAGATATGATACTGGAATCAGCATTTTCCCACACAAAACCAATTTTGTGTCCATGTTTAAAATGTATTTTACCTCAAAAAACAAGGGAATTTCCTCAGAATGAACTGTAGCAATAACGAAAATGTCCTTTAAGGCATACTTAACATTGTGTAATAAAACCTCAGATACACGTTGAACAACCTTGCCATTCAAATCAATTCCTACAAAGTTTGAAAGAGCTGTCTGAAGTTGGGCTGGTAAAGATTCAAATGGTGTGCCAATACTCTTTCCTGGTACTTTTTCAAAGTCACATAAAATCTTGGAGGAAAACTCCCAGCACTGTTTGTATTGGTGACGGCTACTTAGTGTTGTAGCTATGTTAATGAAGTTCCTACAATTACTGGCAACATTTTTAAAATACTGATGCTTCCCTTCAAATCGCATGCACCAAAGGGATCGAAGAGGTCCATACATTAACATAAGTCGAGAGTAATGTATCATATAATGGCACTTGGGTGTAATGATCCCAAATACGTCTTTCATTTCTCCGAGGAACTCCTGTACAAGTAAGTCTAACATGGGAAGACACCGCTTTTTTACTGTAGATGCCATGACAATATCTGAAATCTCACGACACAAGAGGAACACATTCCAATATTTACTATCTGGTGGAACACGGTCTGCTATTAGAAAAGGGAGCAACCTAAAAAGACACCACTTTTGTGATGCAGATCCAACTATTCCTGACTTATTTAAAAGCTTTTCAGACAGCAGTACAGGTTTGTTTGTCTTGTCATTTTGACCAATTGAGAGTTTCTGTAACTCTTCATTTACTTCTGTAATAGTGATATGCTTCTCTCTATGAGCTCGAGTCAAAACAAGTTTTAGAACTAAAGGAATTACTCCTTCTAGTAGATCGTGCATTATGTCTGGGGGAAAGGAGGTAGTTGTGTCAAAATAGGGCAGTTCATCAAATGGACATTTACTCTGTACTCCATATATTGCTTTACTGTCTGGATTTTGTACTATACATTCAAGGTGATATTGGTGAACAGCTGCTGTTCTTAAAACAAAACATTCCTCTGTAAACTTTTCTTTCATTTCATTATAAGTTGCCATGCAATACCTACAAATCCTACCAGAGTTGAATGACATGCTGTACCCAGCAAGCATATGAGCAGAGAGATTATCGCTAGAAATCGTTGCTAGTGCTGCATTAACTTTATACTCAATCCCACTAACAGATACAGTGAACCCATTCGTTGCTAGATCTTTGAGATCATCAAGCATTGGTTTCAATATGACATCCCAACCACATTGTTTTACATATGAATAACGCACAAGTAAAGCTAAATGAATATTCTTCAATTGAGACCGATAGCGCCCGTCCATATTACCGATTGAATAATAAAAGGCACACAATTTGTGTTTGTTACGTTTAGAACCTAAAGGGTTCACTACTTCAAACTCATCCTCATAAAAATGTAGTCGTAAGGAATTCGGATGATGCATGAAGAATGGGTGCTCTGCAAAGTAGACCCCATCGGAATAGTCACTTAAAACACCTTCATTTTTTTGTTGGTTATTGTAAGACTGTATTTCTTCCCAAACATCTACGTGGGAGCAATATTTACGCAGCACTTGACTAAGAGGAACATAGGAGTAGCTGCCCAGTTTGTGTCCTGAAGAACCTCTTAAAGTGTACTGAACAGGTTCAGTCATATCGAGTTTTGACTTGCAATGCTCTTTCAGCTTGTATTTAGACCTAATCACAATTGATGCTTCTTCAAAAAAATCCTTAGATTGTAAAACATTCTGAATTTCAGGGTTTTCTGACATGTTAAAGCCACTTTTGTTTAGGTGGTAGGCTATGAATGCATCATAGTTTTCCTTAAAAAAACAAAACAAAACATTGACATCATCAAGGATTTCCTCCTGTACCAACAGTGGAAGATTATTTTTTTCTCTACATTTTAGAATAAAACTAACAAGGTTCTCACTAAACGATGTCAACAGTTCATTCAAGCAGGGAGGCTGTTCGGCCATGCCATTTGTGGAGGGATCATTTTCTGCAGCGGCATCTTCATTTTCAAGGTCCATAGGGGGCTCATGCTCTTCGTCATCAGAGGGCAAAATGGAGTGCTTGTGTTTTCTGTACATGTGTCTTCTGAAAGACTCATATTTTGAAAATGTACTTTGACAATCATTCAATCCACAAGTTATGTTAAAATTAGACTCTTGAGCATGTATAAGTCCAACATGCTGTACTAATTTCATTAGTGTGAATGTTCTTCGAGAGCACTTGGGACATTGATGTAGGCGAGGCATTAGTATAACTGGTTAAGAATTCTGATAACAGTGGTCGAGAGCGGCTTATCCCCCTCCTCAGATATTTTCAGGATGCAGCGCTGTACGAAGGTCAAGGTGTTCTTACGGTTTGGTGGGTAGGCCATGTTGAAAACGAAATATGCGCAAAAGGCTGCGATGACTCCCTCCTCCAAATCACTGGCCCTGCACAACTCGAACCCATCTGTTTTGACCACACTGGGCCCTCTTCTTGTGAAGGCTGACTTCCAGTTGGTGTGCGTCAGTTGGGTGGTCGGGTAAGGTGTGCCAGGCTAAACACAAAATGGAAAGTAAATTAGTATAACCCAAGTATGTACAGTGGTGCTTGAAAGAGACACGGAAAATCATGTGTCAAGTTCAAATGGAACTCAACATGAACATTTGCAAACAAATGCACATCGGTTGCTCCTTCATTTATAAGAATGAGGCACATTTCCCCCCCTCCGGTGTGACAGTGGCTTACCTCTTCCAAAGTAACATGATGCTCCACCTTTTCCTTGAAAATAATTGGCAGGAGAACAAGCCCGGCTTTGAAGTCCATGGCTAGAAGAGAGGAAGACACAGATCAACAAAGATGTCTACAATTGTAGTGGTGTCCGATTCTCTGTCTATTGTGGCACTGTGGTGAGAAGGTGGATCGGACCTATACAATTGTGAAAATGACCTAAATGGAGCAGGGAAATAAAATAAAAGTAAAGATACAATGTGTGCAGATGTAAGTGAGTTGAATTGATTAAACTCACTCCTCAGTATAAACCGCCCACCCGCACCATTGAATACTAGCATTTCAGTGGCGTAGTTGGTGGTGTTTGAGGTGGTCACAAGAGTTTGTAAGTCAGAGGATGAGATCGTACCCACGTGGGCAAGTGAGGGTGGAAGCTAGGTCGCAGTAGGGCTGTGCAATTAATCTGTGCATTCCCTTTCGCAATGATGCTCTCAATGTGTCTTGCGTTACACATCCTGCCCTCCCTAAAAGCCCGCTCGGCCAGGTTGTGTCTTGCAGTCTGTTTAATAAATCCATATAAACACGTTACAAGGGAAGCTTTAGTTGCTGTGTCTTTATTCTCCGATCTCTAGCGTACAGTCAACTTTTACTAACCTCGTCAAGCCGGAGCCTCTTAACTACTTCCTGTTTCCAGGTGAGGGGTTACCAAAATAAGAGTACTGCGTGTAGCAGTATAATTAAACATTACAGGTTGTGAGTGACATTAGTTATCATATTTATATATGTTTAGTAGGTTGTGGAAGTGCGCTCCAAAATATTTGTTTATCTTCTGTATTTATTATTTTGATATTATTTATTTAAATGTAGATATAAATGTTTTTGTTTTTTTTACGTTACATTACAGGGTAATTAACTGTTAAAACATATTGTTCAAAATATATTTTTTTTAAAGTTCAATAAATGGATGTTTTCAAAGTCAATGAATAATCGTGATTAGGATTTTTGCCATAATCGAGCAGCCCTACGACGCAGTGACACCTGTACACAGACAGCATTACCTGGTAGATCTTCGCTCAGTGACTCTTCTCTTGCCTGCAGATATATCTTCTCCAGAGGGGATTTTCCTCTTGCAAGGGCCAGCACCTTGGGTAGAATGAGGAGAAATTCCTCTCTGAAGCGGTGCTGCAGGTTTTCAATGTTGTGGATGCGGTTCATTTCCTCACACAACTGCATAGACCAGGGGTCCCCAAACTTTTTCCTGTGAGGGCCACATAACTTTTCCCTTCTCTGATGGGGGCCGGGTCAGTTTGTAACAGAAAAAGTGTGACGATCGCATGGGTGTCTAAACGTAAACATTTATTGTTTTCTAGAAAGCCACACATAACCAAATATTAATAACCCTTTCCGGGATCTTCACAGAAAAAAAGTCAGGAAATAAATAATAACACTATTAATGAAATAAATAACACTATTTATGAAATAAATAATAACCAAATAACCCTCTCTGGGTTCTTCACAGAAAAAAAGTCCATTGAAAATTACTGTAACTTTCTGTTGTGCCGTGCACAATCTTAACAGGTAAAAGTTTAGCTTAGTTGTCAGAGCAGAATCTCTCAAAAATAAACGTGGATTTACGTAAAAAAAACTATTTTTTCGGGGTTCGGGTGTTTTGTTTGATTTTAAACAAACAAAGTCTTGGCTTTCAGAATATGAAACTTTTATTTCCTATTTATTTCTCACTCGCAATCTGCTCTTCCGCAGCGCCGCCCCCCCCCCCCCCCCCCCCCCCCCCTCACTCCGCTGAAATTATGAATGTAAGAGTATAGTAATCATAGATAACACTGCAGGGTCCGTTACAGTTTGTTTTCATCTGATTTCAATTAAACAAAGTCTTGGCTTTCAGAATATTAAACTTGTTTCGGCAAATTCAGATGATAAATACAACTTTGAAGCTTCGGCATAATTACAAGCGGAGAACGGCAAGCATAACAACAGCCGGTGTTTCTCGTGAGTGTTTTCCCCGGGAAACAAACACAATACACACAAACGCAAAATTACACAAGCACACACACTCACGAGCTTCCCCTCCAAACGAAAATATCTTCCCTCGGTAGTATTTTGATCATTTGCTCCGCTAATAATCAATCAGATCGATGGATTCCAGAGAAGAGAAAACTTTGAAGGCCTTTTTCTCAAAATGATGACTCGGTGACAGTCATTATATAATGTGACATATTTCGCTTAATGTTTGAAGTACAAAAACAATCCTGATATCATTAGAAAGCTAGGAATATCCTCTTTCCAACAGTGTATACAACTCAAAAGGTGTCTTCGGGTCAATGCGACTGATTTCGATAGAGCAGGTCACAACATTTTGACAGGGGCTAGTCTAGGATTCGCGTGGCCAGACTGAAAAAAAAAATAAAAAATCATAATGCGTCTCTGGTATTGTTCAGGGGGCCGGGCCAAATGTGGAGGCGGGCCGTACCCGGCCCGCGGGCCTTAGTTTGGGGACCACTGGCATAGACGGACAGAAACAAAGACAACACAGTACAATTTAGAGAGGTTGATTGTATGGACGGAACACTACGCGTGCAAGTAGCGAAGGGTTACATATTTTACATACTGTTAGTGTATTCTATAACCCCGAAGGCAGGAGAGAGTCAAGGGAAGCTTATAAAAGTTAACAGCATTTAATTACACAAAAGATGCGGTGGTGTACAGTACAAAATGAAATGTGCGAGTGGAGGCGCTCTCCTCATCCGCCCGGTCAGTCCAGGTCACCCGGTAGCAAGAGGTCAATCCTTGGCTTGCTCTTCCTGTTGTCATCGGAGGTCTTCTCCTATTGGCCGGCGTCGTCGGGGGCGGGTCCAATGCAATTTCTGCCTTTTTCTGTTGTTAAATTATATCATTCTGGTGTCTGTGGTTATTTAAACATTTCCTCATAAACGTTATTCAGCGGAAATAAATGATTGCTAAACCCAGTGTGCTCAGTGTACAACATCACATGTCATTTCACCTTTGATTCACGGTTTGAAAATGCAGCATTTCGCCACATGCTAATGCTAACCGGAAATGAATAATTGTCAGAATAAAAGTATTAAGTTAATAGTTAGTGAACTTCTGTTTTTTTCAGAATACAACTGATTTAAATTAAATAGTGTATTTAATTCAAATTACGCCATACCAACATTGATTTTAATTTCTAACAATCCCTCCTTACATACCCTTTAAGGTATGTAAATAATATTGAAATCAATTAGTTCTTCATCCGAACATTGCATGGTACATAACTCATAAAAGTAAAAAAATACAAATAAGAATACATATTCATCATAAATATGAAGTTTTTCATTTGTGCATAACTTCTAGCTTAAACCTTTAATGTTACTTTGTAAAATAGCAGCAATTAGCTTGGTATGGAAAACGTCTAACTCCCTCCTTTCACATCATAAATAATCTTCTTACTGTATCTGGTGTAAAGGCACTTGTTCTTTTACAAAGTATTATAAGGATCAAACTATCTGAAAATAGCTAAATATTACTCTTTATTTACTTTTACTGTGTCTCTGGTGTAATTTATGAATCTCTGCTGGTTCTAGTAGATATAGTTATCCCCATCCACATTCTTGTTGGTTGTGGGACAGAGGAATAATAATTCAGAACCTGCTGATATTTGAATCTTACTACTGGGCATATGTTACAAACAAAAAACATCTTCATGGTGAACTAAATAAAAACCTTGTAATCTTTCTCAAATCTAAATATAACAATGAACTATTCCTGTTTATGGTAAAGACACACACTAACGTTATGTAATACAATTTCATTATGGATTCAAACACAACTAAAGTCATAATGCGGTCAGAGTGAATGATTTATTGAGTGTATCTGTCCTGTAAGGTACGTCATTCTCTGCTTGGATCGTGTGCAGAAATCCTATAGATTGCACCTGGCAATACGGCTTCTACCTGTCTATTATCAAGCTGAAAAATGAATACAGAATTCCAACATACTGTCATCAAATGTCTTTCTATTATGAATTTAAATTAAATGTATATCCCCATAATGAACTAAACAATAAAGTCTATGGCTTTTACTTCTAATTCTTTACCAGGCTAGTTACAATATGTTGTCTAAATTAAATTCGGTCTCATTGCATTACTATGTTTTAGCTTAACTTAACTGTAATATATTCTTTCTACATTTCAAACCTCAGATACTCTAATGTCTGTTAAAATATTACAAAATTGTTTAACTATCACAGGTCAACTTCTTCGGTATTCTATTCTGGAATTACATCTCTCACAGTAGCCCCTTGGCCACTGCTTCTGTGTTACCTGTTATAATTCAATCAATATTTAGAAACATCTCAACATTCATCAAACAGTATCTTATCCCCAGATATGGAGCAGGTTAATTATAAAACTATCATTCAATGCTCAGTTTGAACATCTGGGTTGGGGCGGAAGGTTTCTGTCAATCCTTAAAAGAAACATTTAAATTGTGAATTTTACAGCCATGTTGCCATTATACATTATACACACTCCCCCCTTTTGACACATGAACTCATGTGTAACAAAACCCTGTAATGGGGAGGGGAACAAAAAACTGTCAGGTAAATATTGGTTAGGGAAATAACGAACATTATTTACAATTTGACATCCATTATCATTATTTCCACAGTAAACACTTCAGTGAAAAGAAGTGTTCCTCTCCGTCCTTCAGGCCTAAAAGAAACAGAATCTTCAGATTTTAGTTTTACATTTGCAAACCGCCAACTCATGTGGGAGTAAAATATCATCAAGTAGATTAGAACCGGGTCACATGTGCGGTTTCCCCTTTTTGTGGAATTTTTAGGAAACCTCTCGTTTCCCTTGGAGCACCAAAATAATATGTTAGTCCAAAAACATGCTTGGTTAGTTATTGTTTTAGAATCATGCAGTTACACTGATCACATGCCGGCATTAATTCACACTCACACCGTCTGGTTGTCACGTCAGGTTTGGTCAGGTACACCCCAGAGTCAGTCATGGACAGTGCTTTTGTCACACTGTCAGTCAGGGTCAACGGTCATTTGGTCTCGGTCTTTTGGCCATGTCGTGCTCTGCAGAGTCTTTTCGGAGGTAATTCAGCATAGGCGGGTACCCTTTATCTACAAAAATATGTCATATGTGGAGCGCCATTCCTTATTCATTCACGATTTCAACTATGATTTTCAAGATGATTCTAACTTTTCATTGGGACTTCTGCCTCCTACTTTTCCTGAAACTTGGTACAAAACTCACTTCCTTAGAGTACTACTACTACTGCAATTCATTTACACCTAATTAGTATTAAAATGTCTAATGATCTATTTCAGAAACTTGTGTACATAACTATTATCTTGAGTCAAAACATTACTAGGATCTGTGTAGCTCTGCATTTCATAGCTCATTATAATCATTTATCTTTAATTCTGGTCTACTTAAAAAACAACGTTAAACTCTTTAGCAGTGTGTGGAACCTTGGGTGTCCGAACATGCAACAATTACTCCCTCCTTTATCAAGGATTTAAAACAGAAGTCATTTTATATTTGGCTTGGCACCAGCTCTCCCTTTAACCTTATGCATACAAATAAAGATTTGTCCTATAGAGTGGTTCCTAAAACTATCCTTTTAATTGTGATCAATATTGTAACAAATGAGATCACTACTTTATTCACACGTGAATACAAATCTCTTAAAGAATGATTTGTTAACATGATGAAAAGATGGAAGAATATGGTTCTACTCTGTCATGTCTCCCCCTTTATCCCTCAGTGTGTTTTAGGATGATTCTCATTTTACTTTAATCTGTCTTTACGTATTTATGAAGTTAATTCAAGTTATTTAAATGTGCGTTTTGTGAATAAGTGTGTTTATGTGTAAACTCACTCATTCCCGTTCTCCTTTTCTCCTCCCCTGGTTTTCTCAAGCCGTGACCCCGGCCTCCTCATTTCTAATCGACCATGCCAACTCCTCTGATTCTGTCTTCTCTTCAGTCCATCAGCTGTTGAATCCATCCGCTGTAACTCTTTTAGGCAGCCATTGGCCCAGTTACATCTGCAGCCCCCATCATGCCACTGTTGTTGCACTGCTTTGCATTTCATCTCCTCCTTTACAGTCTCTCTGCTGTTTTTATGGAGGGCGGATTCTGCTCTTGTGTCCCACACTCGGCTCTTGTGCCAAATCTCGTGGCTCAGCTTGGAACTTCATGCCCTGTCTGAGGGGCTGATGAGAGTATCTCTCTGTATGTCAGCATGCTGTTTGGTTCTGGATGCCACAGGTGGAGATAGTTCTGGCTGCAGTCTTGTTGTTGTTGTTGTTGTTGTTGTTGTTTCAGCTCTGGTTCTCTGTCTGTTCGATGGAGAAGGAGGAGTCTCCTGTTGGGTTAGGTCTTTCGTCTGCTTGGAGGGTCGGGATCGTAGCCTTTCTAACTCAGAGGGGGAGTCCAGGTCTCGGGACGCATTACCTATAAGAAGTCTAGCACACTGATGTTAAATAAATCCAACCCTTTCCACTCTGTCTCTTTCTAATCATACCATCTGTCTTAGTTGTTAAATGCCATCTAAACAACATAATTAATGTCTACTAATGATATTACAAAAACTCACTCTAAAAATAGTTTCATCCATTTCTATATATTTACCCAACACAACTCTTTCAGGAAACCATTTTCTCCTATAAATTGAAAAACGTACATGTTTCCAGCATCACATATTCCACACACTACGAAAGAACATCTCCATATTTTAAATCCCACTGTTACTTAGAACAATAGTAAACCTGCAGAGCACACTAATCAGATCACAGTAATTAAATCTGACTCAAGTGTAGGCCTATGTCTACTTTCCATTATACTTATTACTTGTGCTGAACATTTATTTATATTGTCTAAATTCCTTGTCTATGATGTGCAAACAGTTTGAGTGTAAAATGTGTTTTTCTCAATGTATTTACACTACAGATTCTTGAGTTTACTCATCTCCTGGTGCTGTCGTTGTAAAAAATGTTCAATTCCTTATTGTTTTTTGTACCAGTTTTTCAAATTCAGTTCTAACTGCCGTGCCGTTTCAGGAAAGGTGGCGGTACGGCTACACAATGTGTAAGAAGGTGCCAACATGTTCCTTTTTTAACTTTGATCCGGAGCGCATCCGCAGTGCGTTCTACAACTTCCCATGGTCCACTCCATACAGGTTGCAACAAGTTCATCTTGTGGATTTTTACATTTACCCAATCACCTGATCCAACAGAAATATTCGTCATGACCCTGGCATATGCTTCCGCCTCAATATTTCTAATATCTAACACTGGTTCTCCTCTGTATTGTGAGGGGCTACCTTGTGGTGGATATTGCTGAGTGGGGCAATCTCTGGCCAGATGTCTACAATCTCCACATATGAAGCAGCCATCATCCCTTCTTCCTCTTGATCGTTGCTTTCCTCTCCATTGTCCCTTTTGTTGATGCTGTATGGGAGTGTATACCTGTGCTTGCGGCTGTACTTGGTTAGGAAGATACACAGGTATTTGCTGTTGAATATACTGTGGTGCTTGTGGCTGTACTTGGGTAGGAAGATACACAGGTATTTGCTGTTGAAGATACTGTGGTGCTTGTGGCTGTACTTGGTTAGGAAGATACACAGGTGTTTGCTGAACCTGGTTTTGTGGACATACACTTCCTCCTCCGCTTTGTTGAACTGTTGGAGGTGTCCGCCCTGCCTTCTCTGCTAGTATGGCCATCTGATTTGTCGATTTCTTGTTTTTATTAACTTCGGTATCTCTCTCAGCAATTTGTAGCTTCACGAGTCTCCTTGCTTGGATTTTATCGTCCTCATCAAGTCCCGTTTTTTCTGCCTGGTGTCTGATATCGTGGTGAATGAGATGTTGTCTCCATTGTTCAGCGGGTTTATTGTCCAATCCCACCACTTCTTCCAGACGTGCCTGCACTGCTAGGGGAAGGGCTTTAATGACCGAGTTCTTCCACACCATTTCAATAGCTGGAGAAAGATCATGTCTTTCACCCGTGCAAGCCTCCCACACTTCTTCACATTTCTTCAAGAATGCATGCATGTCTTCCCCCGGCTTCTTCTTCAAGCTGTTGAGGGCATGTAAACTGCGTGTTGTCGGGTAGATGTGACGAATAGCAGCCCAATAATTCGACCTGATGTAGTTGAATGGAGTGTCATCTGGGTCATTTGTGCAATTGGCCTCGGAATCTATTGCTCTTGCTTCAAGTCGTCCTTCAATCCGTCCGAGCAGGGCCCTCATGTCTCCCAAGCACAGGTGGTCTTGGACAGTGTACTTCTCCAGATCATTTACCCACTTTTGACCTCCTTTAGTGAGTGGAGGTAGCTTTGACACTAATGCTTCCATGTCCCTGTGAGTCCATGGTTGGTATTGAAATCCTCTTCTTCCAGCCGCTATCAATGGCATGGAGGTATGTGCACCGGTCTTGGTTCTTCTGGTTTTGGGGCATGTCCCAGGGTAATGTTGCTCGTTTTTGTCGCTACTATTATTCTCAGGAGGAGATGCAAAACTGCGTTGTTGCTGTGACTGTTCATGGTATGGGGAGTGTCTACTGGTTTCAGACTGTGTACCGCTGTCGTCATCTTCATCTCCCCGTCCATTGGAATAGTCAGGAGAGTAGTTTGTTCTGCGTTTTCTTTGAGTTCTTCGTTCTTCTTGTTCTCTCCTTTGTCTATCTGCCATCATGTCCTGGAATCTTACATCGTCTTGTTGCCTCTCCGCCAGAAGTAGTTGGTATTTATCTTCCTCCCTTTGTCTTTCTGCAATAATGTCATTATGGGCTTCAACTGCCTTCCGTCTTTCTTCAATAATGTCATTATGCTTCAATGCTTCTGTTGAGCTCCTCTTCCATTCTTCTGTCGAGTTCCTCCATTCTTCTGTCGAGTTCTTTGTGTCTTCTGCCGAGTTCTGCTTCCATTCTTCTGCTGAGTTCTGCTTCCATTCTTCTGCCGAGTTCTTCCATCAGCTGGTTGACACTGGATAGGATTCTTACCTCAAACGCCAATTCTTTCTCATTTGGGGCTTGAATCGAAGCTTGGTGAGAAGGGTTGTTCTCTGATATGTCTGGAGGAGACACTTCGGTCAGGCTTGGATACTGCTTTGGAGTTTGGATAAGTGGAGCCTCTTTTGTCATTTCTGCTGTGTCTTCATTTACTGGCAGATCTTCTGCGATGGATGTCAGATGGATTAACAGACATGTAACCCTAACTTTTCTTTTTTCAGCTTTTTTCATAGCGCTTTTAGCAGGTCCATACCAAGGGGTTTGTCCGGCTTTGATCCATGCTTTTTCCTGTTGTAGGTATTCAGCATTCTCATGTTCAACTACAGCTTTTCTATGGGCTTCCGTTGGTCCAGGTTGATCATCTGCTGGAATCAATCCTCTCGTTTGCCACTGTTCCAACAGTTTCTCTATTTGGTTCCATGTCTTCTGTCTATGACTTGGACACGTTAAAGCATCTGATCTGATGTTTACTCTCGCCTTAATATCTGCAGTTGTGCCTGGCACTGTGGGTGCTCTTAACTGTGGCGACATGTTTCTTAAGTACACGGATAATATTATTAAGTTATCAAAATGAATTACTAATCCTCTGAATAGTACCCTCGTATTCTTTATAAAGATATCCTATGTCATCTGAACTTAACTTTAAAATCTGGTAATTTTTTCAATTTTTTTTTTGGAAAAATACATTTAAATGTTGTAAAACTGAGATTGGAAAATCTAAATTAGACAAATGAAATTAAAATTATGCACATTTTCAAAATCTGAACCAATAAATAAAAATGCACAGTGTATGGTTTTGACTTTGTAATATGAAAATAGGAATATGGTGCAAATCCAAATAAACCGTGGACAGTGTATACTCAAGTTGAGTTCATGAAATTATGCAAATGTCATAAAATGTGTTAACTACAATACTTCAATTCAAAGAAACCACATGTAATCTTTATCTGTGGTGAAGAATGTATTAACTATAATACTTATTATGTCCGCTAGGGGAGCTGTTTTATTTGTAACTCCTCTCAAATGTATCAACTAGTACTTCCGGTTCATAAACATACTTCCTGTTTATTTCCTCAAAATATAAAGTTCAAATTACTTTCTTTGAAAAGCATGAAAAACAAAACAACTCAATCTACTCTCAACGTTCATCTACACCATCCCTGTGTATTTAATCAGTAGTTACCGGTTGTATCTTTACTCGAAGTATTTCACCATCTAGTAATGCTTACTGGCTAGCTTAGCAGTATAGCATTAACCGCATGTGACTGGGGGAAGGGGAACAATGGAAACACTCAACATCTGCATATAAATAACCACACTGCTTGACAATACAAAACAACACAATCTTCAGCTTATCTTAAATCTAAATTATATAGATGCTGACCTTAAAAACCGATCTCATACCAATCTTGTACACAATCGTTTCGGCTTAGAACATCACACAAAAATATACGTTTTGGCTTAAAAACTCCACACAATATACGTTATTAAACCAGACTACGCAGGTTTAATACATCAAACATATAGACTAACATGAATGGACCCAGTCCAGTGTAAAACAGATCAGGTCTGGTACCTACCCAGACGTATTTAACACAATGTGAACCCTATCCCAGATAAAATTCTGCCTCACCAGAAGGTCTTAATATGTAATATTCACATTATCGGGCGGCGCCGAAGATACAACAGAGACGAATAGAAACACTATATACAATCTCCACACCACTCGCAATCACCACGGAATTAAACAGGTAACTGTCTCACCTTTCGTTTAGGCCCAGCCAAAAACTCATTTTCTGCAGGCAGTGTGATGCTAGTTAGCTTGCAGCATTCCCCTCTCTTCCAGCTCTATCCCGCTTCAGAGCCCACCCAGGGACGCCATGTTAGTGTATTCTATAACCCCGAAGGCAGGAGAGACTGAAAAGAGTCAAGGGAAGCTTATAAAAGTTAACAGCATTTAATTACACAAAAGATGCGGTGGTGTACAGTACAAAATGAAATGTGCGAGTGGAGGCGCTCTCCTCATCCGCCCAGTCAGTCCAGGTCACCCGGTAGCAAGAGGTCAATCCTTGGCTTGCTCTTCCTGTTGTCATCGGAGGTCTTCTCCTATTGGCCGGCGTCGTCGGGGGCGGGTCCAATGCCATTTCTGCCTTTTTCTGTTGTTAAATTATATCATTCTGGTGTCTGTGGTTATTTAAACATTTCCTCATAAACGTTATTCAGCGGTAATAAATGATTGCTAAACCCAGTGTGCTCAGTGTACAACATCACATGTCATTTCACCTTTGATTCACGGTTTGAAAATGCAGCATTTCGCCACATGCTAATGCTAACCGGAAATGAATAATTGTCAGAATAAAAGTATTAAGTTAATAGTTAGTGAACTTCCGGTTTTTCAGAATAAAACTGATTTAAATTAAATAGTGTATTTAATTCAAATTACGCCATACCATCATTGATTTTAATTTCTAACAATACCCCAGCAGGTGTCTTCAAGAATGGATACTTATTGGCGATAGTATCAGCCCGTACCCCCTCAGCCACCTCCTTTCTCCTCCACTGAAATGTCTTGGTCATGGCGTTGGTAACGATGCAGGAATCAGGCTGGGTCTTCAGGTATTGTCGTTTCAAAACCTGTGTGTGTGCACCAATGGAGGACTCGTCCTCCCCAGAAACAGAAATGATGTCCTGCAGATAGACAAGACAGATGGAGACAAATGACAAACATGAGCCTGGCTTAACCCTTAAAGACCTAGACGGAATTTTCGCCTGCCTGACTCTCCTGTATTTATTTGTTTCTCCTAACCTGTTCTAACCTTTTCTTGCAGTCAGCATCAAGTGCCTTACCTCATTTGATTCAGGAGAACCTCTAGTTCAAGTCTGGCTAATTTGAAGTCCAAATTTTACCATAACTTTGTGTGATAATGGCTGTATTTACCAGCACTTTTCAAAAACGCCAGTACAAATGTTGTGTTTTTTTACTGTTTACTCCGCCAGGAACATAGGGATTTTCTTTTTTATTATTTACAAAGCTGCATTTAGATGTTTTAGGCTTTCAAATTAAATTTCATCTGCATATTATGTTCCCTGAGCAAGTTACAGCTATTTATTACAATATTATCCTAGGCGTTTTTCAGTGAAAAACGCCTAGGATCATATGGAATAATTAAAACGAAATGTATTTCCATATTTAAATGACTGATCATGTTTCTTCTGTCAAAAAAAGGTTGAGAGAGTAAACAATTAAACCATAACAGATGACATTGCAACAAAAATAACTTGTTTCAGAGAAATATATTATCATTTGAACATTGAAATACAAACACAAACAGTGAAACAAATTCAAAGTGCAAATTATATTAAAACTATAAACAAAGTATTAGGAATATATAGAAAGTGCAAAAGTACAAAGAGCAAATGATCTTCAAACTATAACCAAAATATTAGAAAAATATATAAAGAGCAAAGGAAATGTATCCACATTCATCATGGTCTGGGTCGCTCAGATGTACAGCTCTGCTGATTGCCATGAACCTGTCTCTTGTCATGACAGAAGCAGGAAAGAGAACACTTAGGTGTGATCCCTTCCTCCAGTAGTACTTACTTTTAGCAGTTTTAGAAGTGCCATAAGGCCGACATACATGAGGAATTTTACCGGCTTTCCCAAACAAACTTTTCCCCCTTAGCCTGCTCCTTTTCAGCATTTTTGTTTGTGTTCTTGCAGATGATATTTACAGCTTGGTTGTTAAAACAATTTCTAAATATTTGTGCAGGAGTATACTCCACACCAACAAAACCTTGGACTCCAGGGGCTCTTTTCGGGCAAAAGTGTGGTAGTTGTTGGGCAGTATCTGGCACCTCAGGTCCGTTCCAAACAGCTCCTGGCTCTTCTGGGGTCAGAGATGTTTTTTTCCCTTTTCCTCTTCCTCTCCCTTTCACTGTCAGGGGGGCTGGCATTGGTTTGGCCTTTTTTCTGGATGCTGCACCCTCCTGGCCACATTATTTTCCCTCTCGGTTTGAAGGAGGCCTACTGATGGGGACAGTGGCTTGTGCATCCCCTCTCTCATCCTCTGTACTAAAATAAAAGGGAGGAAAATATACAGATATAAATGTCTGAATTTATTTTATTTCCTTTATTGCTTTTATTTCTCCAGTGTCATCCTATCTGTTTTCTAAACACAGTCTCAACTTTTGATTTGATTCACACTTTATCCCTCTGCTAACATTACTAGTTGATGGAATCAGTAACTGAATTGTAATGCAATGAATATAATAACATTAGACCTTATAACAAACAACCAAAGAGGGCAAGCGGAATGAGGCAATACATGAAAGGTATTGCTTGACGTTTTTTTACTGAAATAAATAGTAGCCTCTATTGATAGTGAATCTTGAGCTCAGGACTTCACTTTGACACAATTACGGCAAATGGCCATCCATTATAAAAACTCTTAGGACTAATTATTTTCGGCGTTATACAGAAACAACAACCGATAAATGCAACACAAACAATAAGAAATAAGCAAAGTTACTCACTTTTTTATCTTCGAAGGGATCAATCCCGTGATCATACTCCTCTTCCTTGCCAGTTGTCAGCTTCAGAATCTGAGGAATCCACCGCTGCATCGCTAAGCGGTCCGCCAGACAAAATAAATTCTACGGCTTCTTCCGTAGTGTAACGCCGTTTTGACATGTTGGTTTGAATTTGTCTTGGGATATATGTGTGTGTGTGTGTGTGTATGTATGTGTATTTGTGTGTGTGTGTGTGTGTGTGTGTGTGTGTGACTGTATCTAGATATCTCGTGTTGTATTTATTTCTCTTACGCTGGCAGAATTACTCTTCTTTAGTATTACTCTCTCGTCTCTCTGTTTCTCTTTGTTTATCTCCCGCCGCCAAAAACATACACAGCAACCTATGTTGATTGGTCGAGAAGATGGTAGCATGGGCAGAGGTTTGCCTGGACCTTTACATTTTAAACCTATCCGGACACAGGGGGGTGGGACTTAGTCTAAAACCTTTGCTGTTTGGCTCAGACAGAGGGGCCGCGTGGGTCTCCTTGACGAATCAAGGCTGTAAAATGTGATAACGTTGCCCCGATCACGTCGGAGCCTCTGAATCCCGGAAAAGGACATAGTGATACCAGCAAAAAGCCTAGAATAGCCGCTTTACCTCACTTTTTAAATCAGATGGATAGGATTAGCGGTTAAAAAGTTATTAAGCATTTTAGAACGCTACCTCTTTGAAGCCGCGGGCGGCTCGCTCGGCCTTTAAGGGTTAATATAGCAGTGCCACCATTTTCTATATACTGTATTTACTGACTCAGTTTTAAGTGTATACAGGCTGATAGGAATAAACTCACTGAAGATCGTCTGACAGAAGTCGTTATGCTTCCCTGGTTATTTTCTGGTGCTTGGGGTGATCTATGATGCCCAAACTTTTGCTTCATGTTTCGAACTACCTCGTGGTGGACCAGGGGCGTCCTTTCAGCTTTGAACCGCCGTTTTAAAGACATATGCCAGGTGTTCTAATCAGAGGAGACAAAGATTTAAATTAACCCAAAACATTTTTGTGAAACTCATTGAGTTTAAAGAGAAGGTAGCAGATGTTTGGCCACTACGGAGCTGTTGAGCTAAAGGGGATTCTTTGTCAGTAGATGGCACCCATGTATTGGTCGCACTTTCATAGCTGACAGACTGTCAATCAAAAGACGGCATGGGCACAGATAAGATAGACAGGTGGTTCATCCAATCCCCTGCCAAGTATTTTTGAAAGTGCCTGCCCTTTTCAAAACAGTTTACCATAGAGTCTTCCCAGTTGGTTGTGTGAAACAAACAAATCAGGTATGTCAGGTTATGGAAATAAAAACATATATTGTGATGTAACCCAGATAACACCTCATTAGAAAAAGTTCATTTGTAAATGAGCTCTCGAAAAGGCTTTTGTCCTTAATCGAAAATGCTATAGGGGAGATATAATCTGTCAATTCAACAAACCACATAGGACTATAAAACCAGTAAAAGTAACTTACATATCTATTCCCCTCCATATCCTTCAGGAAAGGATACCTGAAAATCAATGCTTTGGCCACTTTAATATATTCAGAATTTGTCGGATACCTAGAGAAAGCAGGATGAGAAAGTAAGTTAAGTATTTGTATGATCACAATACTGTAGAAGGTGTGCTGACAAATATTTACAATAGCAATATTTACATTGTGTATTGTGCCATCGTCTCATGCAATATCCTCACGATTTTGTGTCTATCAGTAGACACTTTATGGCATGGTTGTTTTGTGTCCAGTTTGGTCTGGATATCTTTGGGGAACGTTGGCAGGGTAAACACAGCAGGGAAACTCCCATATTCTTGACTGCAGGACAAAGAGGCATGTGATTAGCAAAGGACAAAAAAGCTGAAAATATGTGAGGACATGTGATTATATTTAATCACATTATCGCTATGTGTGAGTGATATTTGATCATCCATGTAATCAATACCCCTTCCCATTCAATCACACACTCCCATGTCATTGTAAACACATGTTCCTGCTTCCCATGACTGATATTTGTATTCTAATGAAAGTGTCAACCATTTCCCCCCTGATTAGTTAATACATAGAAGTAAAGCTAAGACATGAAAGCTACAACAAAAGTTATCGTAAAAAAAAAAAGCAGTTGGTTAGTATTGAGCGTTCAACAAGGTAATGTCACACTTGCCATGTTGGAGAAAGACAGTCATTTGGCAAGATCTCAAAAGTCAGCGTTGTAGATGGCTCTGGCTCCTTCAGCTGGCGTGCAAATTGTAGGAATTTTGCTTGCTTTTTGAAGGAACCTTCAAAGAGGTATGCGACCATCGTCTCGGTCAGGCCATAGGAAATTGCTTCCTCGTCCACATCATTATCTGAAGACACAAATTATGTTAGCAAATCTCAAAACACTTTTCAGAATGTAATCATTCCTAATCCATGCTGACATTATGTCGTTCCACATTCAAGTCAAATCCAATCTCATTGTTAGCAGTTCCAGTTCTAGTCAGGTTAGCAATACATTTGAGTTGATAATAGCCAAGTTACCCGGGCTGATTTTTAGTCCCAGTCTGCCCCTGCATGTAATCAACATACACTAGCACAGCTGTAAGCTATGGCTAACACTCTGCTAGCTACATGGATGGCTAGCTAATGCCCCTTTCACACCAATGCGGTTCCAGGGCCGGTTCGGAGCTAGAGCCTGAAAAGCGTTGGTCTAAAAGCAAGAACCGCATACTTCACGTTTACGTAGGAGTGGGGTGAGATTAACCTGAGCTAACAGTTTAAGTATGGCAAATACAAGTTGTAACAAGCAGTAGCGCTGAGCAAAGTGACTAGAACGCAACCACACACTTATTAAAAAAAAACACACTTTATAAAGTCAGGCAACACTAACCAGGCTTCGTGTGATTCTGTTTATTTGTTCCTTACTTTGACCATCCGTTCGCTGTTATTGATCATTGTGGAGAGCAGGCAGACGTTTTGTTTTGTATTATAGCAGCTATCGGATGGAATCAATACATGGGCTGCACAGGTTGCCATGTCCGACCATCACAAGTAGAATGAACTACATTAATAAACAATGAACCACGGCACTCTGGAGAAAAGTGCAAGGTTGGAGAAGTAGTTATTTAATTTAATCTGGCTTCGTATGATTAAAAGTAACAGGATCATCGACCCAACACAGTCACCCATTGTTGTTGTGAGCACCGCTGGGGAGAAAATCAGCTACGTAAACGGTAACGTCATGACGCAGCAGCGGCAGCACCAGTCGGGCTCTGGGCGGTGTGAACAAAAAGGGGGGGAAGAAAAACCGGTTTCGAATCAGAAGAGCAAGCACGGAGCTAGAACGGGAGCTGCGTTGGTGTGAAGGGGCATTTCATAGGTAGCTTCGCACACGGCTGCTTCCCGCATAACGTTACATGTCTGCATGTGCTCATGTCAAGCAATCACTACACTAGCACATATGTAGCTAATCTTGAGCTACGGCTAACTAACGTTGTCTTGGAAATGAAGAATCTCTCCTTTATTTAAGCAGAAGAAAATAAATATGAGTGCCTTTTCCACAATGAACAGATTCATGTTGGTCAATAGCCCCGTGTCTGTGAGCTTTAGTGAAAGCCACCATGCTAATCACCCATCCAGCAAAGTAGCCAGACAACTGACACAACGCCTCCATCGCGCGCTCACTGTATGTACATTGTCTTTGAAATAACGTAATGGCTAGCGTCGGCGCTCTGCTAGCTAGGCAAACTATATTCAGTTAGCTAGGTAACGTTAGTTAGCTTCACACACGGTTGCGTTATGACCAATACATTAAAAAACATTTAACCGGCAGTATTTTGTTGTTCTCCAGGGACTATGGAGCTAGCTAGTGTTAGATACCATCTCCCCAGTCTTTTCATGAAAGGCATTAGCCTTAGTTAGCTAAATGTTAGCTACTTGACCAGTCATGAATGAAGGTAAAGTTCACTTACCTCTGAATTTCCTAGCTTCCAGTTCAGTTACTTCTATCCCATATTCTACTACCTTGGTGATAATATCACTAGTGGATAGACAGGTCAAGGCAGAAGTTGTCCCACTGTTCGCCATGTTACATGTAACACCGAGGTCTTTTGAAAAAACTGAGTCTTTCAATCTGGCCAAATATGACCGTTAGATTATCTCCCGCTCTCAGCTCTCTTAACCTATCAGGTGTTGTGTAACATTAACGTCTATTTCTCAGCGAAGCACAGCAATAATAATTAAAATTCAATTAAACCAAGTTTATTATCACATATCATTCATGAAATTAGTGAAAAAACAAAATTAAAAAAAAAAATTTTTTTTTTTTAAACCACAAGGTATTTGCAGCTATACGTTCAAATACCTGAAAAAATTACAAACAGCCTGTTATTTTTGATAAACTGTCCACTTATTGGTGATCTACATGGTTACTTTCAACCCTGAACAAATATTAAAACTTAATAAAGTGAGCAGAGCCACTGCAGGCTATAGGCATTCACTATGTGAAGGGTACACTTATGTACCTTTTCCGCAATACATATGTAATGCGTACCTTTTACTTGAAAAGGGTACTTATTAGTACCATACAGGAGCATGAGTGTACCTTTTAAGGGTACATTTGTATATTTTGTACCTTAAAGAACAAAAATGTACCTGTACTGTACCTTTATTTCTGACCGTGTAGGATAAGTAATAAGGGAGCGAGGAGTGATTTTCGGTGCTGTAATAGGTTAGCATTTTTCGCTCGGGGCTAATTCAGAGGCTCACTGTAAGAGTAAGCCTATGTTTTATTTTTATTTTATTTTATTTTTTTCACAACAGTTGTATTTGGATGGAATGAATACCTATAGTGATAATTCAAAGTAATAAAATGATTTTTACAGTGAAAAAGTTCAAATGGAACCGATGGTTCCCAAATTACCCAGAGGTGAGTCCGCTTAGACTTTATTTTTCTAAATCTCTCTAAAAAGGTCAAATTTCACTTGTTTTGCATCAATCTTGATACAGGGTACTTATTATATGTTATAGTTTGGATTCCTAAAGCTTTTAGTCTACTAACCCATCATGCAAGGGTGGTTTTCACTATAAGTAAAGGTTTTTTTTTAGGTGGACATTAGAATTTACATGTTTTTACTATGTTCCATCTGAATTTACTTTAAAATAAAAACATCTATATTGATTCTGACACTTCTACATCCAACTCACAGATGTAACCTTGCTTTGAGAAAAATAATTATTAATTTACCCCTTTTAGAAGTGAAGATATATCATTTGTTGTGTTAGTGGCATTTTCGAGCCTGAAACCTGAAAAACAGGCTCAGGGCTTAACTGGTTAAAAAAGTAAACGGAAGAGCGTCTGAGAAGCGTTTTTGCCCTTTTGCTTGTTACCTTACTAAATGGTCTAATGGTCAGTGGAGCGAGGGGGGAGGCCCGCGAAACTCGCGGAAGTGATTTCAAAACAAAAAGCACTCGTTTGCTTGGAACAAAGAAAACGGCCAAGACACACATTGAGTCCAGAAAATGAATGTTATTAAGGGCTGTAAAAGGGCTCTAAAATTGACAACAGGCTTATTATATTTACAGCCCTTAAGATACACTTTTGTGTTTAACAGCTGACCACTACCATGACGTACTTTGTTTTAGTAGATTTAGCATGAGAGCAAAATGTATAAATATGAGCATTAAATTATATGAATATGAGAACAAAATGCATGAGTGACAATATATGAATGTGTGCATTGAAATATGATAATATGAGAGCAAAATGTATGAATTTGTGAGTGTAAATATATACGTGTGTGAGTGAAAATGTATGTGTGTAAGAGTGAAAATGTATGTATGTAAAAGGATGTGTGTAAGAGTGAAAATATGCTGCATTTTGAATGTCCGATAGTCCACCATTTCCACCGGAAATATCAAACATTTAATAAAAGTGAAAAACAATGAACAAGACTTAACGTATTCATCATAATTAATTATATTTATTTCGTTTGGATGTAGGATTTTTGACTTTGTTTAGAGCAGTGATCTTCTACTATATGAACATTTTGGACCCAAAATCACAAAAAAAAAACGTAAAAACAGATTTTGAAAATGATATTATTTTTCATATGTAACACAAACATACACAACGAAACCATTTAAAAGCTGGAAATATATACATGGGATGTCACTATGATAATGTGAAAGTTTGATTGAGGTAGCATAGGATTTCATTCTGCTAAGGCAAAAGTGTTATTATAAATATAATACAAATATATATATACACATTATGTACAAAAATCAGTTTTTTCTGTCTTTATCTGTACCACGCTTCAAAGCGGTTTCTGTCAATACGACACAGAGGGCAACATCACAGGTTCCTCCTCCTCCATGTCAAAAAACAAGCTTAAAGCTTGACTCACGTTCAGAGTTCTCTTCATCATAGTTGAATCTTCAAAACTCTAAATCTATCTAACTATAGGCCTATCTAAATTCTCAATGTTTGTCTGTCACTTTATTTCAATCGCAGTCTCCCGCCGTCCCTCTTCGTCTCTTTTCGTCTCGTTTCGTATCACTCCGTTTACCTGATTACCTCACCCCCTCCCTGGTAAATACATCCTGTTGAGCAGAATCTACAGTTTCCAGTATTTTCCGTTTCGTAAAATGATCAAATGCGGCGAAGATATTCAAATATGTGCTTCCATTTTTCATACTTTTGAAATGTATTAACTTTATATCATCGTATCTCCGTGTTTACTGGGTCTTTTTGCATAAAACAAAGACTGGGATATAGTTTCAAGCCAGTACTTTCGACAGAAACACACGGCAATGTTGTCCGGACTGTTGTTTTTATGCGGCACCGGCTTGAACAGGTCATGTGATCTGATCACGCCGGCGTGACGGTCGACTCCAAAGGGTTAATATTAAATACATATAAGTATTTTTACAACTTGTATTTAGAAATACTCTGTTGTAATTATTGATGCATAAATGTGTTCATCCATTCAATGTGGCATCTGCTATAATGGGGTTAATGTATGATATTACTTAATAATACAATACATTATAATACATGATATGATAATTATATTTTAGTTTTATTCATTTCTTATTTCATAGTTTCTCATTATTATTATTTGTATCGCTCATCTTATTTTTGATTTTATTAATCTGTGCTGTCCTGTTTTTCCCTCTCACCCTGTTGCTGTTTGAACTACTGAATTTCCCCACGGGATTAATAAAGGTCCATCTTATCTTATCTTAATGTATAAGTTGATTTACTTCAATCTACTGTACTGTGTAAAAACACCCCAACAATATTACAAGAAATATACTGCATAAAGCAAACTATATACTTTATTTGATCTAAAATATTGATGTTTTTTCATTATAGTAGCTTGTGAAAACCATACAGTAACAAATAAGTGATTAAATGCTACAGTATTCAGCAAACACAACTGCAGAGCTGCATACATTGCAAACAGTTGTCTTTGTGTATTTTGTGAATGAAGCGCCATCTCATGGTTAAATCCTGTAATTGAACAAATGGGGACATTGGGCAACGCCCCCTAGCAATTTGGCAACACCCCCAGCCACTGGCATCCGCTGGGCTTTTGACTGGGACACACCCACCTGAGTCTGATCTGGAGTGCTTCATCTGTACTTGGATTTATGAACTGCCCCTAATTACCGCCCCCCTTCCAGAGACACACTGTCAAACACACTCATACCTGCTTGGTATGACATTGAAAAAGTTACAATAAAATGACTGTTGTTTAATCTTCACATCTTGTAATCATGTCTATAATTTTGAGCACCAAATTATTGATAAAATCCTAACGATACCCGTCCCTACCGGGGACACATATTTATGTATAAAAGACATCAGAAGTGCTGTGCATTTTGCATGATAGGTCCCCTTTAATACTGTCGGAAGCATATTTTTCATCCCCACCTGAGATGTAGGGAATGAGAAAATCCTCTTGACCTCAGGGAGTAAAACGACAGTTTGTTAGCATAGTATGGGTTTGAATCTCATTCGTCCAACTTCCCTCAAAGACACCAGACGAAAGTTTCTATCAGAAAAAGGTCACATTCCACGACCAATCATCTCTGTAAAAATACCCAGCGCAGACACAACCAAACCCAGCATGCAGACTCACTGGGGCTCTGAGACATGTGCTTCAATTCAATTAAGAGCAAAGTAGATTGAAACTCTACGAACAGATGAGATTTCGTCTGCCCGGGGCGGCCCCAAAGTGAGCCGCGCAATGAGGAGCCTCGGGAGCGAGCTGCATGCTGGGGCCCTGCGCCGTCTCCTCTTTCACCACCTGGGTCTCCGTCTAATTAATAATGTGTGTAATCAGGGAATGAACAGAGGGAGGCCGGGAGGCAGATAATTAATAGCTTATGTGCTAAGGGATTGACAGAAAAGATAAAAGAAGGATAATACATATTTTATCTTAAATTGGTCATCATGGTTAAAAGGATATAAAAGTGTTGACATATTTTTGTTATCCTTTGCACCTGTGTGACGAAGGTAACTTTGTCACTGGACTGACGGGGGCCTTGTAACTCAGCACTTTAGTGAACAGTATTTATTAACTGATTAAACCGCATTGATTGGAATGTCGTCTGGCAGGTGCCGGTCGGGTCCTTGACTCCGCCTGAAAAGAGAGGGGAGTTTGCGAGAGCGCCGAAAGTATTTATGCTGGTGTAAGAATGACAGCGGTTGAGAATAATCAGGGTACAAATAATATGTTGAGGGTGTGAAAATCATGACGTTAAGTTGCATTAATTGTACAAGTTACCACTGTGTAAAGTTGACATATCACTCCCCCATGTCTGTTGCTGCTGACTGTGTGCACCGGGTGCCCTGTGTTGTCTCCTCCCCCCTCACCTGTGTCTTGTTGGTTGATTAGTCTGTGGGCATTTAGGCTCTGTGTTTCCTGTTTGTAATGTGGTGTGAGATCCTTGTGGCTGCAGGATTGAGGCTGTGAGTCATGTGTCTATGATTTTAATAATTGCCCACACCGGGTTGTATTTGGGACGTTCTGCCTCTGCCTCCTTGCTTGGTCGGGCCGCTCAACGGTCAGTCTCACAAC